AAGAGCATTAAGGCGTTCAGTAGTTAGCCTATTCCTTCTCTTAGTATGTATCTATAAAGCAATGGACAGTTCATGAGATTAATAAAGAGACTAATTTCAGAATGAGTGTCTAACCATTTCAAAAGTGCTCCAATTTCTTTCACAACCAGAAGAACTTGAAGTTAAAGACGAGATTCTAATAGCCATCCTTTGTAAACCGGGTGTTTGAGTCCCATACAATCTCCACCAAGATGCTGCAAATAATTGTGAGTTAGTTTAATTATCATGATGTGGTGCAGACCTACAAATATTTATAATGCAGAACTACAAGTCTACAAATTCAAAATATTACCTGGGTTATAATCAAAGTTTTGATAAGTCCTAGCTAGCTTCTTAGAAAATGAACCTTCCCTGGTTTGAAATATCCTAAGTTCATAGTTGGCAACCTTATCTTGCATGTCCTCATCAGCATGATAGAAGGTCTCAACATATTTCATAAACCCTTCTATCACTGTGCCATCTTCAAAGAGTGACGTATCAGCATAACTATAGTATGGATTCAGCACATATGCAGCTAAGTGTATCGGAGAATCAAGTCTCCCTTTCATCTTCTTGTCTACAATAGACATGACATCTCTGTACCGAGCCTCTATGTTCCCATAGCATTGCTTTATCTCTCTCTTTGCCTTGGTTAATTCTCCGTACAGGAAGCCCATAGTAGGCTTCACATCTCCATCAACCAAACGAAGCACTTTTACAAGAGGTTCAAAAATACTTAAGCACATCTTCAAATCTTTCCAGAATTGTGGACTCATCATTGTTGCTGTTGCAGATTTTCCTTTTTTGGACTTCACACCTCTCAAGTTGTCCCACTTGCTGTGCACAACCATTTTTCTTAGGTCATCTTTCTTCTCCAAAATGCTGGTCAATGTAAGGAAAGCAGATGCAAATCTGGTCATACCTGGCCTTACAATTTCTCTACCATTTGTGAAGGACCTCATACATTCCAAGGTTAATGTGTGGCCATAGACAAATATAGTGAATGCCTTTGCTTGGTCAAGAACTTTCTTGAACCTTGATAGGTTCCGAATTCCTTGCAGCATCAAATTGATTGTATGAGAACCACAAGAAGTCCAGAATATGCTTGGCCTTTTGGCAAACAAAAGGTTTTTGGCAACCATGTTGTTAGAAGCATTGTTTGTCACCACCTGGACCACTTCCTCCTCACCTACTTCTTCAATGGCTTTGTCCACTAATTCAAAAATTACTTCAGCTGTATGTGACACATCTGGCATCTCCTTTGAGCCCAAGAAAGTAGTGCCAGCAGAACAATTTGTGACTATATTCATTATACTTCTCCTTTTCCTATCAGACCAAGCATCTGTCATGATTGAACAACCATTGTTTATCTTTTCAGCATCATGTTCCTTAACCAAACTCTTGGTTCTTTCATATTCCTCACTCAAAAGAACTTCCCTTAGGTGGTCTTGAGAAGGTGGCTGCAAACCAGGGCCAAATTGCCCGATAGCTTCACACATTTGCATGAATTCATCATTGTTGACGGTGCTGAATGGTATCGCTGTCAAGTCTCAAAGAATATATGAGTAATATGTTAGGAATAGCAAGCAAGGTATTCATCATTTTTAGGACTGAAAACAGAACAATAGTCAATAAATACTTAAATAGCATCAGTGTTATTTACCATGTATATACATCCATCTTGCAATGTATTGCTGAACCTCATGTGTTCTTTGCTTCCAAAGTTCCTTGTTAATCTTTTGTTGCTTTAAAGATTCAGCCTGTGTAGCTTTAGGATCAATTGCCCTTTTCCACTTATCAATCGAGCCTAATTTGTGAGGCTCCGAGCTTGCAACTTGGCTTCCAACACAAGTTACCCCATCCTGCTCCTGCTCTCCAACTCTAGAAACATTCACTTCTTCTCTCAGATTTAGATCACGAGCAGTTTTCTCCTTTCTCTTCCTTGTTGCCTCCTCAAGTGACTTCTTACATGCTGTTTTAGCCTCCTCTGTTTGTTTCGTACACTTAACCACCGAAGTCCCAACATGTGCTACATGTTGTTTCAGACGGTAAATCCATCCTGAGCTAGTATGGCCACAAAACAAGCACCGGACCTTCTCCTTGTTCAGAGGATCAACTAGCGCCTCATACTTCCATCCTACATCATCTGAATTTCGCTTGAGAACAACTGAATTTGTTGTTGTTGCCTCTGTTGCTGTTGCCTCTGTTGTTGTTGCCTCTATTGCCACATTGGTCTCACCCGTTGCCATCCTACTGAGACAAGCATGGAACAAATCAGATTAATATAATCAAAGCATGGAACTAATTAATCACTAATTAATTGCCTTTGAGTACTCGTAACCCTAGGCCTGGGCCTTTTATTTGGCCACCACGCACCTACGTAACCCTAGGTCAGCGCTCCCGCCAATCGATTCACCTGTCCCGCACCGCCTCGACCCGCCTCAGCGCCGCTTCCTGCGCCACGCTCGCCTCAGCGCCCGCCGTTTTCCGCCTAAGCGCTGCCCCCGCTCAGCGCGCGCATAAGCCCCTAGGCGAGGCGGCACCCCGCCGCTTCACGATTAAGCGCGCGGAAGCGAGCGCTCACCACCGTTTTTTTTTCACTGGTTAGACTACATTGTGCATTGGAGATAATTTTTAAATCATAGTAGTAAACCTAATATTTTTCATACATGGTTCACAATCTATTTAATTTATTGACATTTGTCAAAGTTTATTATATATAACAACATTAGATCATTGAAGATGCTCGTACAAGATTGTCATAATATGTTTAACTGAACATTAATGATTTGTCCCAAACCTAAATGCAAAATATTTAAATTGATAAACAAAACTTAAATTTTGCCATTATTGCTCTTATAAATGAGCATTAATATACTTCTAACCATTCAATGTTACATAGTTTTTTACACTAGCGGATCCAGGCCACCTAAATCGGATTTTTTAGGCCAACTACACAATATATATAGTTAACATGTGTGAACCAACCCAAGAGCGTTTGGATGAGATGACTTGGGTCTCTTCTAGCTTAACCAGTGGTTTCATGTTCGAGCCCTGGGAATGCAGCAGTGTTAAAAACTCTTGATGGAGAGCTTTGCCGTCCTTGTGGTCCTACCCGGCTCGATTCCGGATTAGTCGGTTCCCCTGTGGATCCGAAAACCGGAAGCTCCCTGTACCAAAAAAAAAAAAAAACATGTGTGAACCAAAAATTTATTTTAATATTTGTTAATAATATAAATACAAGTTTTTATTTTAAAATTTTAAACAATTCTAACAAAATAACAGTATTTGTATTTTTTAATTTAAAACGATACACCCCACATATCAGATTCGACAATCTTATATTATAAATAGATATGATTATTTTAATTTATATCTACGATATGAATGTCAAATTATAGATCGTCAAACTATGACTAATTTAATTTACCATACATAAAATATGATAACAAATATAAATGTTATTAACTTTTAAAATATATTTGCAATTTAAGTTAGTCAAACGTTCAAATTTGAAAGTTCTAGATAAAAGTCCATATTATATGGACTATTTTGATTCCTTAGAATTTAACAAATAAAATTACAAAGTGTTGGTAGTTTGACAATAAAAAACTCTAGTAATAAGATAACCCATAATGAATTCTTTATAAAATAACATAACAAAAATAATGACATTTAGGCTTTTCTTAAATTAAATTAATAATTATATTTCTAAATAGCTTGCTTATAACTTCTTACAAAAATATTAAGGTAATTATAAAATATTTTTGGTATATTTCTATAATAAAAACGCTAAATAAAATAACCAGACTTTATTCTCCATTTCATTTTTAGCATTAACTAAAATTCAATTTGAATAGGGAACACCTCAAGACCCGATTGTTTCAACAATTTATTTAATTTTGATATAAATGGTTAAAAACAAAAATCAACTATTTTTTTATCTGTCTCATGAAAATTTATGGATCCGTCGGTTTTTTATAACCAATTGATATTCATTAAATTTAGATCAACGAATGGTGGTGATATATCTTCACATTCATCATTTTAAATATGGGTTTCGTTAGAACTCGGAATATACGTGTGTGTGGGATAGCTACATATCTTGTCAGTTTAATAAGTGGAAGAATTTTAATAAATTTGGAATTAGCTCCTTTTGTTGACACAAAACTCGTATGTTCAAAGAGATGGTGTTTTTTTTTTTTTTTTTTAGGTACAAAGAGATGGTGTCTTTGACTTTTCGTTAGGTATTGAAATCCAAGCCACCAACACAAATACAAGGTATAAATAAATACCGAAAATATTACTAATAGTTAGCTATGTAGAAATTTTTATCAGCCACGGTAATATAAAATAACAAGTATTCAAAAACTTTTATGTCGTGCTTTTTATATAGGAATTTACCTTCTACGGGAAATTTTCTCATTCACATTCTTCTTCTCTCATTTTTTAAAGTTATTTTTGTCGTGCTTGTTTATCAAATTTCTAGAAGAAAAATCTATCTCAATTCAAAATATAACTCGACTTTAACTCAACCCCACTAGTCTATCCCCATTATTATCCACTAGTGCAGTACCCGTGCGATGCACGGGCTAGTTTTATTAAGGTAAATATTTAGATTTGGATGATTGTAAAAACGTAAAACGCATCTATTGGAATGAACAAAATTTAACTTGTATATTATTAAACACATCCTTGTACAACATTATTTGTTTGGACTTTTGGTACATCGTATATCACCACAAATTATATTAGGATTCGAGATAACTTAAATAAATCAATTCATTATCTAGCAGTATATATATGATATTTTGTATGTGTATGTAATCTTTATTTATTTTGTACGTGTATTTAATCAATTTCAAATTTGTATTCTAGAGGATTAAATAAAATCAAATTTTTTAGGATGTTCCAATATGATTTCATTTTGATTATAAATTAATATTATCTGACTCTATTTTATGCTTAAAAAAATCCAAGCTAAAGAACGTAATAGCCCAATAATAAGGGATTTTTAAAATTTAATTTTCAATTTGAAATTGGGCCAGATTTCTATGCAATCCAATATTTTTTAGAAACATTATATGTTGCAATTAGGTAAACATACATGTTATAGTATTTTGTCTAATTCGAAATCCCTGATTTTATGGTGAATAACTTTTTTTAATAAAAAATGCGAGATTTTCACTTTTACAAAATTTCTATGCCGAATTTTACATAATTTAACCCGATTTCGATGCAATTAAATTTTTTAATAAACAATTAACTTATTGCAATTAGTAAAAGATATATGTGATAGTATTTTGCCTAATTCGAAATTTATGATTTTATGGTATTTAATTTTTTTTTAAAAAAAAAATCGGAAAGAATTTGACTTTTGCAAATTGTAAGCATAAGTCGAGGGCAATAACTACAGAAATTCTATGGCACCACATGTGTCATCATATTATGGTGCCACAACATGATGTGGCACATTATGATTGGTGCCACAACATGATGTGTGATAGTTGTGGCACCAATCATAATGTGCCACATCATGTTGTGGCACCATAATATGGTGCCACATGTGGTGCCATAGAATTTCCGAAATAACTATGAAAATCTGTGGCTTTAACTAGGCTTTCTCTTTTTCACTAAAGGCTCGATTCAATTGACGATACAAACGTTTACCTAAATTAAATCCATAAACCAATGAATTTAGGGTGCATATATAGCTGGTTGATTTTTAGGAATAATTTAAAAAATATAAAAACTACCAAAATAGAATGCAATAAATGTTGGTTGACTTTTTTTATTACTATTTTTAATAAACAAGTTGTCTCTTTATATATATATATATATATATATATATATATATATAT